AGAGAGAGAGAGAGAGAGAAACAGCATGAGAGGGGATAGAGTCAGAGGGAGAAGCAGGCTCCCCGCTGAGCCGGGAGCCCAATGTGGGACTCGATCCCAGGACTCCGGGATCATGACCTGAGCTGAAGGCAGTCGCTTAACCAACTGAGCCACCCAGGCGCCCTTTCTGACAGTTCTTAAGAGATGTATTAGAACACTTATTATGGCTCTTTTGGGAGTCCTGACTGCTTGCTGTGTAACACCTCCGGGCTCCAGTTCATGTAGCAGGCAAATCTTTATTCGCTTTCTCAAGGATCAACTAAAGTATCCAGAACTCCAACAATCAAATCCACTTTATAGGCAGCAGAAAGGAGGAAGCACAATAAGAGTGTGCCCTTTCTTTCTCCGTTAGGGAAACTTCCCAGAAATACCACACAGCACTTCTGCTTATAGCCAGTGGGCCAAATCTAGCTGGAAGGATGACTGAGAAACCACCCTTCTCCACATACACATCACAATAAAACGAGGGTTTTGTCAGTGAGGAGGGAAGGGCCCATGGATCCTGGGATAGGCAATCAACAGGTTCCCCCCTGAGGGGACACAAAAGAAAGTTTTATTTCGACTAGCACAAAGTTATCTAGTATTTCATCAGTCTGGCTTCATTGGCATGTTGAGGCCTTTTGATCTTTAAATATGTCTTAATGAAATAATACTTAGTAATGTTACACACCCTGTTTTTCTTAAAGCTCTTCTTAATGTTTGTCTCATATAGATTTCCAGATACAAGTAAAATTTAAGAACATGCATTCTTAATCATGACCAAAATGGAAGTCTGGCATAGTACCTCTATGATTAATAACTTTTGTATGTAACATACCATACAATAAGCATTACACTGTCTCAGTAACACCCATTCTGGTCTCTAGGTCTAATCAGCAAGATAACATAAGAGAACAAGAAAAGGTTAAAGAAAATTACTCCCTAAACTATCAGTAATCTCTTTTTAGAGCTCTTAAGAAATATCCCTGTTTTATTCTTTTTAGGCATGTGGTAATGTACTTCCCCAGTTGAAGTTATGTGTGAACATATAACTTAATCAGCCAGTGGCATGTGAGGAAAAGTGCTAAATGTTTTCTCCAAGGGCTAGCTTTAAGATCCAGTGAACAATTTTTCTTGTTCCCTTTCCCTCATACAATTACTAAGGAAGTATGTATAGAAATGGAGTTCCCTTCACCAAGGATCTTTGAGTGCATCCTCTCCACCTAGGATGGACCTGTAACATGAGCATGAAGTAAACTATTGTGCTAATCCACTGAGATATGGAGTGTTACTGCAGCATGACCTAGCATATGCTAACTGATACTCCTCCTCAGATCACTTCAGCCAGTATCTCCCCAAATAACATTCTCTTCTCAAATGAGCAGTACAGTGCTGAAATTATCTTTCAGGTGGCATAAAAAAAGGTAAAGTTTCCTATTAAAATTTTTAAAAATGCCTCTATAAACTGCTCTTCTTAAGCAACAGACACATATAAAACAGCACATTTGAAACCACATGGATGATAAAACTTTATATTCATCACACATTTTACTTTACTGGAAAATGATCCATGAGCATAAGCAAGAGCAGTTAAGACCTTTTTATTCTAATTAAATCCAAAGGATTACCAGAAAGGATCAGGACAGGACACTGATTTTAGCCACACTTTAAAATTAAATGATGGGTCAGCGGTGCTCAGAAATGAGCACTATGTAAATAATTTCCTACAGTAATATGACTTGCTGTTTTTTCAGCAACATTGAATTATTTATCATTTAATAAATTCTTACTAAGTGGCCCCTCAGGCAGTGTTCTTAGTACCATAGAAATATCAAATAAATAAGTCATAGATCTGGTTCTCAAGGAGCCAACCATCACGTAGTGAAGAAAAAGAAAATCTACACAAGTGGAGGCAATTGTACAGAGCAGAATGCATTCAGTAATATATGTTGTACCAAAAAAAAAAAAAAAAAGGTCTGTGAGCTCATTGGCAAGGAATATTACTATCTAGATATAGAGATCTTCCTGGGCTTCTCCTTTCTCTTTATGTATTTTCTTGGAGAATAGCTAATGAAAGTACCTTTTGAATAAATCACAGTTGCCTTATTCTCAAAGAGACCCTCAAACCCAGAAATACTGAGTTACCTACACTTTTTATGGTAAAGACAGATAGAAAAAAAAATGCAGACCTAGAAAGAGAAGACATTTAAAGAGAGTAATGAGGTACTAAGCACTTTTTTCTCACACGTATGCTATACTCTGCTGTTCTTTATCATATACAAATTGGGATCAGAAATGTGAGTAAGATTTTGATGGCCCGAATCTAGAGCAGGGGAGAACTTTCCTATAAGTATAAAAGGAATGTGGGAAGAAGGAATTGCTGAAGCTGTGGAGGAGGGGACAGGCAAGGGGAAATACAAGACATATGTTTATGCATATGGATTATGGAAGAATGTGAATGAAAGTTGAAAAGGTGTTGAAGTGTTTATCCTTCTGCTTTGTCATTATTTCCTGTAGACTTACTTTGTATGACAGACTATACCCTGTGAGCTTAGGGGCTTTGTCAGTTATCCTTGTCTCCCAGAGTAGCTTGGCCCAGAGTAACCACCCAAATTAAAGAAGGCCCTGGTAGAGATATTTTTCTGAGTCTTGATTCTTGCTAACAACCCAGAAAAGCTAGATTCTGCATGGCCATGATTTTAAGATATTTCACTTTTACCACACTGAATAACTCGTGACACTTAGAATTAGGCAAATCTTCAAGGAACACAGAGCGAATCAGAAGGCAGATGTATGTACTAAGAGTCACAGTCTGTCATGATCCTCTGCTCTACATGAGAGCTTCATGTGTGTTTTTAATGTCATCACAGTCTTTGCCAGTCTGAGGAAGCCTGTTCTACTTCACAGAATAATGTTTTATAAATACTTAAAATAAGATGCAAGGGTTACAGGGTGTCTTTATCTTCCCAGGCTGGAATAACAAAATAACATTGAAAAAGTGGTCTAAACAACAGAAATTTATTTCCCCTAGCTCTGGAGGTTGGAAGTCCAAGGTCAAGGCAAGATAGTTTTCACTCGGAAGCCTCTTCTCTTGACTTGTAGGTGGCAGCCTTCTTGCTGTGGGCTGACATGACCTCATTGTGCATACATAGAGTGAGCTCCCTGTTGACTTTTCTCATAAGAACACTAATCCTGTTGTATCAGGACCCCACCCTTATGACCTCATTTAGCCTTAATTACCTTCTTATCGGGCCTGTCTCCAAATATACTCATTTGGAGAATTGGGGCTTTAACATATGACTTTAACGGTGACACAATTCAGTCTATGGCACAGAGGAAACTCATACTCCAGCAGATAATAAAAATTTTTAAAAATTGTATGTTCAAAGACATACTTCTTCATTAACAGAATACACAATAAAAGCTACTGGTGGACATAATAACTACCATACTTTAAAAGTAATTATGAATGTCAATAATAGCTTAAGATATGTACAAGAATTGAAATGTGATATAAACATATCCATGATTATTTGGTGACCAAGTCATATTAAGCTAATGCTACTGTGGTTTGGTTTAAATTGCTATTAAGAGTTAGTGGGAGTCAAGATGGAATTTTTCCCCATTTGAATTCACAGATCTGCTCTGTCCTTGCTCTCCAGGTTGGCACACCTTGTTTTACACACTTCTCAATTGCTCAGGAGCCAAAGAGGTACAAAAAACAGCAAAATCCCACTTGTACTGCCCTCCAGATGGCCACTAGGTCCTTTTTTGAAGAAGCCCTGGACACATGGAGGATGGAGTGAATCTCAAAATTGATCCACTTACATTCCTTCCTGTGATGCATGAAAACTGGTCTTGAACCAGAAAATTCACTCTTTGATTTGGACATGGCTGTGAATGCTTGCCCAAGAGTAGCTTCATTGAAGGCTTGTAATAAAGATCTCCCCTCCCTACTGGAAAAGGTTTGAGTAGGAAGTCATTCTTGGGGCTGATTTATTCAAGCTCTGAATAGAACCAGTTCAATGTCATTTTGGTCATTTTAGTTTGAAAAGAGCTGCATATCACTCCTGCAGAGAAAAAAGAAATGTCATCCCTTCACACCTCATAAGTAGGTTTCACTCCCTGACTTTAACCCACTACTAAATTAGTAGAAAATATTCCCTTGCTTGATCAACAGTATTTTGTATAATTTTAGCCTCTTTTGATGCTATTTCTTCTTTAAGACCAAGGGTTTAAAAATGCTCCCTCTGCCATAGCTTCAGTAATAATTGGTGAGCATTTAGGAAAATGATATAGACTTGAGGTGCAGGGAGTAACCAAAAGGTAGAGTTGGCTTTCTGTTCTGTCTTTGGATCTGCAAGATACTGGTTTTATAAACAAGTTGGGTTTAGCACTGAATTCCTAGACTCAAGAACATTGATCAGGGAAAATAGAATTTACCTGAACCAAATTATTTAATTAAATTATTTTCTGATGTCTCTGAATTAATCATGATAATAACCAGTTAAATGGGCAAGGTAATAACATTTCTAAGTCTGCAATTTTTATCTATACATCTTTACCATAAATAGTACAGGTAACTCAATTTTTGTGGGTTTGAGAGTCTCCTTTGAGGAAAAGGCAACTCTGATTTATTCAAAAGGCACTTTCATTAGCTATTCTCCAAGAAAATAGGTAAAGAAAAGAAAAAGGAGATGAAGCCCAACTTGCTTTGCTTTTCTATTCATCATGAAAAAAATGGCTGAAGGGCTGGAAATTGCAAGTATTGAGCAAAATGAAGTTCTGAAATTATCTGAGGATTTTAATCAGGCATTCTACCCAGAGCTCCATTATAGATATGGCAGTGGAACCATGCATTGAGAAATAAGCATTCTTTGTTGTTTTTTCCACTCTCTGTATGGTCTCCCTTATAAATGCTAAAATACCTAGTACGTCTCCGATAGCCTTAAAGTGTTTATCAAATGTTCAAATTACATAAAATACTAAAACGGCTAATCAAAACGTCTATGAATTGAAGTAAAGCAGAGAATAATTACAAGATGCGGTAAACCTTATTAAGAACGTTGTATCAAGAAAAGGCAGTGGAGGGGCGCCTGGGTGGCTGTCGTTAAGCGTCTGCCTTCAGCTCAGGTCATGATCCCAGGGTCCTGGGATTGAGCCCTGCATTGGGCTCCCTGCTCAGCGGGAAGCCTGCTTCTCCCTCTCCCATTCCCCCTGCTTGTGTTCCCTCTCTCCTTGTGTCTCTCTCTGTCAAATAAATAAATAAAATCTTAAAAAAAAAAAAAAAAAAGAAAAGGCAGTGGAGAAAAAGAATCAATATGGCTAGAATTTTACTTGGAAATAGTCCATATATTTTTACAGCATCAAATTCAGACAAAAGCAAAGGTCGCCTGGGTGGCTCCGTTGGTTAAGCCTCTGCCTTTGCCTCAGGTCATGATCTCAGGGTCCTGGGATCAAGACCCCCCCTCACCCCCCCCCACCCCATGCTTAGCAGGGAGTCTGCCTCTCTTTCTCTCTCCCTCTGCCCCTCCCCACTGCTCATTCTCTCAAATAAATAAAAAAACAAATTCAGGCAAGAGCATATGACAAGGTGAGAAAATACGGAGTTTTTGTATTTTCAGAAAAAAAATCAGGCAAACAATATCTGAGAGCCCATATGCTAATTGCCAGCTTGTTGAGCAAAGTAATCATGACTATTGAGAAGAGCCATTTGGGGGAAAATTGATGGGTTCTGGAAGATATGGAACCTTTCAAGGGAGGCAGTTGTTTCAGGCTGTGGTCTGTGAATTAATTTTCAGAAATGCAACCAGAGCTTAAACAGCTGCCCGTATCCCCTCTCTTTATGAGAAAGAAGCAAATGCAGAAACAATAAGCTCAAAGAAGAGACTCTTTCAAGAAATCAAGTTCTAGAACCACTTTTGGAGAGAATACCTATGTAGTCCTAAGTTGAGACCACTACTTTTGGGCCTCAGGATTTGGGTTTTTTTATTATTATCAAATATTTATTTCTCCATAGTATTCATAAGTAAAAAGGAATTGTTTTTAATTAATTGTATAGAACAGTGGTGGAAATATGGATGATTGTTAGTTTGCTTTTTGCATTTTTTAAAATTTCTGAAACAATGTAAACATAAAGGTGATATATGAAATACATCTGTCGTCTTTGCATATCATGTAGGTAGCCATAATTTTTAAGGATCTATAAGATTTAATGAAGATAGAGAATTGTTTTTGAGTTTCACTTGTGTTGTTGATGTTGTTCTCCTATTTACTTATGACAGTGATGCTGGGAATAGCCCTGAAACTGATAATGCGGAGGGTTGTTGCCATTCCCCAAATGCCTTAAGAACCTGTGAGTACCTCAAATAAAAACTTTCATTTGTCTTCATGTCTGACTTTTAAAATGTGCATAGCATACCAGTAAATGAAATACTCAACAAAGGATGGTTATGACGGTAGACAGAATGCCAAGCCCTGGGGATTGCTGGCGGAGTGGGAGGCCCATGGGCTGGTCCTCAGCCTCTCCTATTCATGACCCTTTGGAGGAGTCTACATCTTTCTCTTTACTTCGAGTTCCAATTGCCTTACCCATACAATGAATGTATATAAATAAATGACTTTCATGTTTCTTTTGGCTTATTCTAAACTGTTTAAACCTACTTAGGTGACAGGTATCACCATGTTTAAAATTACATGGAGAACACAGATTTACTTTGTTTTATGAAATAACTGTAGATTTAGAAAGTACGAATAGAACGTGGATAGGAAAATAGATACAGGAATGTTCTGATTATCTCTAGCTACAGAACAAACCACCCCAAATGTAGTGGCATTAAACAATAAAAATGTATTAACATTATCTCCCACACTTCTGGAGTGACTGGCGTCAGCTAGATGCTTTTTGCTCAGCGTCCTCATGCAGCTGCAGTCAGATGGAGGCTGGGGCTGGAGTCATCCCAAAGGCTTCCTGACTCACGTGTCGATGGATAATACCTTTTGGCTAGGACTTCAGGTGGGGCTGTTGGCCTAGACACTTACATGTGGCTTTTCATGTGGCCTAGGCTTCTTCACAGGATGACAACTCGGTTCTAAAAGCAAGTGAGCCAAGAAAGGGATGATTAGGAAGAATTGTATTACATTGTTTGCTGTAATGTCAGAAGTCACACTGCTGCTTTCTAGCGTACTATTCATTGGGATCAAGTCACTAAGACTTCCCATATCACCACATTCAAGGCAGTGTTGAAGAACTTGTAGACATGTTTTAAAACCAACAGAATGATAGAAACATATATATATATATAAAACATTCCTCTATTTCCAGTTCAAGTTTTCTATTACACCCTGTTACGTGAAGTATTAATACAGTTGACCAAAAAAGTTGTAAATGCTTAGATGATCGCTTTGCTATTTATATATACATATTATATATGTATATCGAGGCTAATTTTAAACACTAGTGAAGTTCCTTTTTTAAGGAATCTTTAATAGAGGGTCATAATTACACATTTTATGATATCAGGCTTGAGCTGGGGTCACCCATACTTTTATTAACAAATGCACGTGTCATCTAATTTGGTGTGCTAATGCTTTAAACATTTTTTTATTTATTTTAAAACTTGAAGCACTAAGTGAAACAGCACTTATGAAATGATATGTAAACAAGCTCTGCTTCATGTTTTGGTAGCAATTAAGTCCAATTTCATCAGAGAGTTCTTCTGCTCCACACATACTCTTCACCTGGGAGTAAAAGGGACTTCAAGCCTGGAGCTCTTGTTTCTTCCCTTTGACATGCACACGCGCTACTGTGTCATCATCCTTAGCAGCAAAGAGGTGAGAACAGAATGGTGGCACATGCCTTCATCATGGGCTGGCACTGGAATGGAATAACCAGTACAGGGGGCTTGAAGGCAGCTGCAGACTCTAGTAACGTAGACAACAATTGCAGCCTTCTCGTTGCTCAAGAAAGAGCTTATCCTCACAAATAAGCAGTTACACTAGTTGTGGGTAAACTTTATAATGGCTGCCTTAGGAAGTCCCACGGGAGAGATCGGTGGCATGCCTAACCTTGCTGCAGCTCTGTGTGTATTCACTTTATGTAGCTGCATAACAAATTACCAAACACTGAGGGGCTTCAAACAGCACACATTTATTATGTCATGCCATTTTCCGTGGATCAGAGGTCTGGGCATGACCTAGGTGGGTCCTCTGTTTAAGGTCTATTAAGTCTTCAGTCAAGGGACCTGCCAGTGCTGGATCCTCCTCAGAGGCTCCACTGTGGAAGGAGCTGCTTCTCAGCTCTCTCAAGTTGTTGGCAGAGTTAATTTTCTAGTGGCTCTGGCATCCATATAGCTTACTTCTTTAAAGCCAGAAAATGGGGTGCCTAGGTGGCTCAGGGGGTGCCTGGGTAGCTCAGTTGGTTAAGCGTCTGCCTTCAGCTCAGGTCATGATCCCAGGGTCTTGGGATGGAGCTCCATGTGGAGCTCCCTGCTCAGCGGGGAGCCTGCTTCTCCTTCTCCCTCTGCCTCTCCCCCAGCTTGTGCTCCCTCTCTCTCTCAAATAAATAAATAAAATCTTTAAACAAAAATAAATAAATAAAGTCAGCAAAGGAGAGAGAGAGAAGGAAAGGAGGGATGGAAGAACAGAGAGAGGGAGGGAGAGAGGCAGAGAGACAGGCTTTAGAGGAAAAGTTTTATGGTATTATCCCCTTCCAGAAAGAAACTGTCATGTGTTGACCTGAGGAGGGACTTTATAACACCCAGAAGATATCCCCAAAGATATCGATTCTGTATCAATTATGTGCTATGTTAAATGAATACACAATGAAATAATGGTAATTGGAAAGAGGTATTGTATTGACCTGGTGTCTATAGGATCATTTACACATGAAAAATAATATAGTCAATTAAATATGTAAAGAATAGTTTGCTTAAAATTGCCATTTAGGAGGAAAAAAATGCTGTTTTATAGTAATGCTAAATCTTGTTTTTTATTTCCCCTAAAAGAGCCCAGGATTTTACTGAATTCCTGTATATGAAAATTTCTGAAAAATAGTAATGATAGTGTGACTAGTAGTAGTTTAATCAAATACTTCAGTTCCTTTTTTATATTAATTTATAATATAGCTCTAGAAAATGCTAGGGTTAATTCTCAATAGCATAGTAAGGAGGCTGACTTTATTATTTGAATTCAACTATTGGAATATTAATATTTACTTCCATAAATTTTGTCTAAATTAATCAAAATATAATTATACTTAACTTGGAATCTCAGCTTATTATAACATGCCTTTTGATTACATATATTTTGTCTCTGTCATAAAAAATCTTAAGAAAAACAGTAATCATGAAATTATATTGCTATCAACTGAGAAATAATGCCCTTAATCTAAAGTATTGCACTGAATTACAATTACTTATGTGGGCAAACACATCTATTAATTTACACATTCAATTTATTGCTAATTATATTGAAAAATGCAATTACATGCTTAAATAGATAATCAAACATCTAAGTCCACCTAGTTAGCTCCTGTTCTTATTAAATGTGTGATAACTGCTTTGCCATTAAGAACCACCTGTTGAAAACTGTAAAGTAATTAGGCCTCAATTTGATAGCTTTCCATGTGTAAAACAGAAACATTTCTACTAACACTGCTATCAAGGAAAGGCCATTTGTTTCATTCTAGCTGTTCCATTTGAACTTTCAAATAAAAAAAAAATGAGATGAATTAGGTAATAGCTGCTTGAAAGCACAAACAGTTTACAAAACTTCCATCAGTGTTCATAGAAAGTCTTAGCTTAGGGGAAAACCTCCAAAATCCCTAAAAATTCATACTGTCAAATGCCAGAAGTCCAACAGTCTTTCTGCTCATGTGTGGATGGGGCAGATTGAATGGGGAAACCTGGAGTAGAAACATGACCCAGTCCCTGAAGAACAGCCCTCTCTGAGAGGAGAGCTTGACAGACCCCCACACAAACACTGCAAAGTACAAAGTGATGTATTGACACAGCCCCAGAGGCTGTGTAAGTAAAGATATTACTTTTGTGCCTGTGTGAACCTCTGCTTTGTGTAGTCCTAGGCTCCCAAATAAGAAACCACCCATCACTTCTAGGATCATCCGTGCGAGAGAGGCAAGGGCATCAGGCAGGGATCCTTGACATGGGGCCTGCGTTAAGACTGGGTTCCATCCATTTGCAACCATTTGCTGTGGCCTAACCAGTCCTCTTTTACCAACCCATGAGCCTTCTTATGGAACCAAACTAGACTTTGTTATCTTGCAGTCCTTCATTGTCCTTTTCTGTCTACAGAACTTAGTCAGAACAAATAAAAACCAAAGTTCAGGTATTGTTGACTTGAGGAAGCCAGGATGGGAGTCAGCATCCCTGAGCAACTGATGGGAATTGGCCCAGTCCCACACTGGGGCCCTATACACCAAAGTGAGTTTCAGCCTTGCCAAGTCAAATAAAAAGTTGGCAGAACAAGGGTGCCCACTCCCAGGTAGAAGAGCAGGCAAGGCCTTCTTATTGATTTGTGGTCTCCAACAAGTTAGTCTAAGGCTACATGTTACTAGTTGTTAATATATTGTGTCTCAGTCTGTCCGCCTCCCTTACATTTGCGTGAATTAGTGGGACCACTCATCTGACTTTTTGCCCTGTCCCTCATTTCATTCTCCCTCAGCCTTTTGTGTCTTTCTGTCTGTGCTGATGCAGAGATTAAGCTGGCAGTCTCTATTATGTATATTTTTGAATATCCTATAATCAAAGTGCAACTTTTTTCAATCATAGTTAACGTGTAGACTTTAATAATACTGGTTTTTCTTTAATTTTATTGAATGTGAAGGCAAAAACATTAAATTATGCTATTCTAAAATCTTTACATTTAGGCAAAGCAATTTCAGTTTTATGAAAGTTATTTTTATAACTGGAGGGACTGAGTATCATTTGAGGGTGGTTTCTTTTATTTTCCATGATTTTTAATGGCGAGCCACATTTCACTCACCTTTTGATTTTTCATTCAGTTTGTTACACTGCATATTTTGTTCTTGCTGTTGTTTTGGTAAGTATACTCCTTCCTGTACCCCTGAGTTGTTCCCAGGGAAACAGAAGATGAAACCCCATTTGGCCCATAAACACTTTGAAACATTTATTAACCTTAAGATGCCTGCGGACAATGTGGGAGCAGGTTAAGTGAACTTTAGATCAATGTGGTAAATGTTCACAACGTTACACATAGTTTGAGCCCCCTCCCTGCTGCAGGGCCTTCTCCCCCTTCACCCACTCTCCTTTCTGTGAAACCATCATCATCCTGCCATAAGCACTGCAGCCTTTTTCAAGAAAAAACATTAGAAGAAAATCTGTTAAAGAGAATTTTGTACCCAATGGTAGTTATTTATTCTTGGGGGGGGGGTCTCCTCTGGGTTTCTTATCAATGATCCTAACAGTTAGTCTGTAGAGATTCCACATGCCTCTGGGATACCAGTATTTTAGCTCCAGGGGATACCCTTTCAAATGACATATAGAATACAAGGGAACAGTAATTCCTATTTTCCCAAATCCATGTCAATTTTATGAACCTTTTTTTTAATTGAGCTATAACTGACAGATAACATTGTATAAATTTTTAGGTAACATGTTGGTTTGATACATTTATGCAATATGGTTACTCCAGTAGTGTTAGCTAACACCTTTGTCACATCACACAGTTATCATTTCTTTGTTGTGTTGAGAACAATTAAGATCTAGTCCCTTAGGATCTTCAAAGTTTATAACATAGTATTGTTGACTATAATCACTAAGCTGTGCATTTGATATCCACAACTGATGTATCTGCTAGTTGCTAGTCTGGAACTCTCTCATTCTTGAAGGAAACTGTAGACTATGGAGAATGACTCTTGTAAGTTTTAAAACTTAACGCCCTCAAGCTATATTCTCAATAATTTCATTTTATTATTGTGTTCACTTCTCCCAGCACAGTTTGATTCACCAAAAGTATAAAGCCAGTTCTTAGGTATATAGAGAGTGAACACAGAGAAAGGACATGAAGTCTGTACTAAGGGGATTCACATTCCATGCAGAAGGCACGCTTGCATCAGGCTGGCCCAGTTCACACAGAAAGTTGTACTTATTTGAAGTTGGTACTCCATACAGGTGGATGAAGAAAGCTTGCTGAATGTATGGCACATTCCTAAGAATTATAAAAATGCATTCCTGCCTTCAGTGGATGCCACATTGTGCTGGGGCAACCATGCCCTCAACAAGATGCCCCTTGTAAGACATAATCTTTTCTTATGTACACGGTATCCTGAAACATGTCCATTAATTCTATAACACAGTCAGCCAGATTGTGGCCATGTCTAGAATAGAGGGAAAATGCATTTCTATATGATAGCAGAGGCAGGGATAATTGACTCATAAAGGAGTTTGGTTAAGAGGGTGAGTGGAAATTTGCCAGTAAAGCAGAGTTTGGGTAGCGGAGAAGTGTGCTCAAGAAGATTCTGAGAACATGAGGCAAGCAGCTAAGCATGAAATTTCACTGACACTTGAATTGCCAATTCTGAGAGAAGCTTGTTGGAAGTGACAGAAAACTGATTGGATGGATAAGGCAGACTGATAATGAGGAGGGCAGTGAAATTTTTAGTTGAATAACTTTATTATATTAAGGTAATTATTGTTATTTAAAGCAGGAAGATATTGAGCATAAGCATGACCTGATGTCATCTTTGTTTTAGAAAGCATCTCTGGAGCCAAAACAGAGAATAGATTAAGAGTTGGAGAAGGAAGCTGGAGACCAAGAGACTGGCTCAGAGACTCTTGCAGTCTATTATACTACTC